GAGGGTAGCGTAATATGCCCGTCTAGGAACTACATTCATTATTGTCACGGAAAAATCTAAGCGGGAAAATACAAAACCTGATATCCGATATCCGATATCGTATTCGTATTTCATAAAAATGAGCATTAAAGCTGCAAGACCATGCAGCTTACGCCGGTATCAGTTTGCTAACAGATCTTTTGGCAACCTGGGAAACTCCAAGAGACAATCGGGTTTAATTAGAAGTACGAATTTAGAAATTTCATCTCGCCTATTTAAGTAAGTATATGTAATTAACATGAGTTGCAGAAAGCAACATCCGATTAAGTCGTGAGTGGTTTCATTAGAAACCCGCTTAAATTGAGATTTTGGAATATGTCCCCGATATTTATAATGACCAGAAGCCGAGAAATTGATGAAAGAAATTTCAATTTTTGGAAGTTCTTATCCGAATACACTGGCCTGGTTGGGTAATCCGGCGTTTCCTCCATGGCATGGGCGAATTTTCTAAAAGGTAAAGCCGTTTTGTAGAGGGGAACGTAAGATCTTTTGCCTTTGGTGTTTTACTTGTGAGAGAGAGTGCATATAGAGTCGCACCTGGAACGAGTGGGAAGCTTTTATACAACGTAAAATCTTCTAATTCAAAGGAAAACCTTGGGGACTTGAAGATTTACTGCTGCCTCATCGATGAATGGAGATCCCAGTGCTTGCAAACGGTGAGGCAAGTTGAAGTATGTGTATTTACAAAAGTCAAAATTATGCACCAGCATTTGTGTCTCCTCAGTCGATTTTTCAACTCATTACACCAGAGCAGAAACTTTAAACTTTGGCAACTGATCCATGCACCCTGAGGCTCTTTTTAGCACCGTATGAACTTGTTTATATTCAAATACGAGAAAAACAAGGGCAACAATTGAATTGCGGGATTAAATGAGGAAAATCTTGTGCAATTGCATAAATGATAAACTTACGTAGTGTGATTAATTTTGTGGGAGCTTTTTGTTTCATAGAAAAATGTACAGCAATACAGTGTATTGCGTGGAACGTTCCATATGACACAAAACATCGAGTGAGGCATTACCCTGGGGCTTGTTTCCTTGGCAATTTCAACGGAGAGTTGTTTGATTAATTCATTTAATTTGGCTCTTTTAACTGAATAACGCGTCGCTTATTTTTTAGGTACACCCTGTTCCCTTTAGCGTGAAGCTTGCTACTTTTAAGATGTGCAAAACGACGAGTTATTAGTTTTAGTTAAATTTCTATTATATGGTAATTGTTGTAACACGTATATATGTCACGTTTTCTTGCACGAGTGATAAAAACGCTTTGAATTCAGCAACAACGTTTTGAGCTCAAGTTCCCGAATCCCTACCCTTCGATAACAGAATTGTATATCACCACGTGCACGCTTCACAAGAAAAAAAACCAGCAATTAAAAATCGATTGATGGTAAAATTGCCGCTTCCAGCACAGTTTGTAAAAATAAAAATGAGATAGATATGCAAATTTGAATTTATGGAAATCTACCTAGTATCTTTACTTGTGGATTTTATTTTCAAGGTGTACTCGTGTAATTATCCGTTAATAATGCTTGTTAATACTTGCGTAATGTGAAGGATATTACCGAATTAATACATTGTTATAATTATACGTATACGAAATATAGTCCAGTCATATTAGTGTTTCGCCTCGGAATGAGAGAATAAGCTATACGGACCTTTGTTTTGGCACTTTGAAAGTTGTCTCAAAAGTCTCATAAAATCTCGTGTCCGCGTCTTCAGATATTGAAGATCAAAGGTCCCAAAAATCGGTTTTTTTGATGTGACATTATCTTTCCAAGAAATATGACGTTTTGTTCTAGAACATTCTGGAATAGTCGGGTGCGTTACAACAATGTTACAATAATTAGTCTTTGTATATTATACAGGCAGAGCTGGGCAGTATTCGATTTTGTAAATACTTTTTAGTATTCAAATCCTTTAAAGTATTCAAATACTTTGTAATTAAATACTTTTATGGAAGCAGTAACTCAAATACTTTCACAAATATTTAGTATTCGAATACTTCGCATAGTAGTACTTAACCTTCCTTTTTTCCAAAAATCGACTACTCCAAAATTTCTCGGGAAAACACTTTTTCTTATGAATTTTGGTGGGTAGAATCCAAAACAATTCGTACTTTTTCGATTGGACTTCTCAATCAAAAGTTATGGACTAGAAACCAAATTCAAAAGAAAATTCAAAGGGCTGTAACTTTTGATCTACTAGCCCAATCTTGGAATTGTTTGAAATTATGGATTCTACAGGCCACATTCTATAAGAAAATTTTTTTTCTTCGGTCGATATGAGACAATTTTTTTTCGGGCCTCAAAAAAAGGCATTCCTTTTTTACCAAAAATCGACTGCACCAAAATTTCTCGGGAAAACACTTTTTCTTATTAATTTTGGTGCGTAGAATCCAAAACAATTTGTACTTTTTCGATCAGACTTCTCAATCAAAAGTTATAGACTAGAAACCAATTACGAAAGAAAATTCAAAGGGCTGTAACTTTTGAACTAGTAGCCCAATCTTGGAACTGTTTGAAATTATGGATTCTACAGGCCACATTCTATAAGAAAATGTTTTTTCCCGGTCGATCTCAGACAATTTTTTTCCGGCCTCAAAAAAACGCAGTACTTCTGTTATTCAAATATTTGAGAACAATTTAGAAATGTTTAGGGAAAGTTTCCATTGTCACAAAATGAAATATAAAAATCCGATACAACTGAATACCGAACGATCCTGGAGTGAAACTTTTTGACTCGATAGTCTACGTAACTTAAAAACAATAGGGACCTTTCTTATATCCTTAAGACCATGTGTACCAATTTTCAAAGCGATCGCACGTTTCTAAACTATCATGCACACGGACAAACGGATGGTCACAAATGGATCTGTTCCAAAAGCGCTAGGATTAATTTCAGAAAGGCGTACGTATCATGTGCACGACGCTTTGAAAACTGGTACACGTATTCTTAAGGATATAACTGGTATAAGAAAGGTCCTGGTAGGTACCTCCTATACAGGGTGACAATTTGAAAACTTACCACCCCCCATATCTTAGTAAATAAACGAGATATTTAAAAAAATCAAAATCCGTTTCGGTAATTCGGAGGGGGAATCACAATGACATAGTTTGCGACGCACCCCCTCCAACCCCCTGCGCCCCAGCCACCCCAACTTTTAAATCTTAAATAGTGACCCCCCATGTGTGATACGTCGTTGGAAAGCTCTGAAAAAAATGCTTTCCAACCATACCAAATAGCATTACATTTAGGTTAGTAATTATCGTGCAAATCAAAAAATAAACTAATATGATACATTTGAAATCTGTCGTATTTAAAACGCAACTGGCGAACATAGACGAACTAAGACAGAGAATAATTCAAGAATGTCGAAATATTGCAAAACCAACATTGGAAAGGTTCGACAAGAGTTTGAGAATAGATTATAACTGGCGATCAAAAATGAGTTGCTGTCAAGTCGGCTTTGGAAGTTCAAGTTAAATACGATTTTCCATGTTTATTTTTTGATTTGCACGATAATTACTAACATAAATGTAATGCTATTTGGTATGGTTGGAAAGCATTTTTTCAGAGCTTTCCAATGACGTATCACACATGGGGAGTCCCTATTTAAGATTTAAAAGTTGGGGTGGCTAGGGCGCAGGGGGTGTGAGGGGGTGCGTCGCCAACTATGTCATTGTGATTCCCCCTCGGAATTACCGAAACGGATTTTGATTTTTTTAAATATCTCGTTTATTTACTAAGATATGGGGGGTGGTAAGTTTTCAAATTGTCACCCTGTATAATAATAATACCTACGCTTTTACTCCCCTTAAATTTGTATATAACAATATAAATATAAAGAAAGCTAACCTTATACAAAGTATAACTTGATTTTTTAAGTAGTATTAAGACTTTTATCAGAGTAAGTATACTATTTTAAATTTTTAATGTACCTATTTGAGTGACAAGTATTTGAATGCTTTTTACTGTATTCGAATACTTTTCAATGTAAGTTAATGAAATACTTTTCAAAGTATTCGAATACTTTTTGGAAGTATTCTGCCCAGCTCTGTAATACAGGGACTATTGTGTTTAACAATAAATGAAGAAAATGTGCAAAACTGGAAAGGATAGAAAATATACCTAGGGTTCTGTGTTGTTGGTGGTCTACCCATTTGCCATAAGAATGAAAAGAGCCCTGGCTGCGTGCCGTGATAGTTTAGTTGCCTATAATACACGCGTGCCCAAGAAAAAAATGTTAAAATACGTGTATTGGAAAGAATTTCTAAATTTCTGCAAATGTACATACATTGGTCATTAAAAAGTGTTCCATTTAGTAACCGCGTATCTTTGACAAATCTACCTGATTGGAAATAATATCAAAGAAATATCCCTTTCTACAGATGATCTACTTACCCTATCCTATGAACAAACTCATATTCATATATTGAGTGGTTTTTCACATACGACGATAAGTCCGTAAAAAAACATGATGGTACGTGTGCGAAGGTGTTCTGACACGTTTGGCGTTATCAACCCTTATCGGTATCCTTTGAACATCTTCCATTTACCTAGCTATCCTTTCAACCCTATAGGTAAACTGATCAAAGGAGAAAGATATAATTGAACTACATGCGCTTTTCGTCTAAAGAATCAAATCCTTCTTTCTTTATTTTTGCTTACTACTATTGGTATATCAATAGTTTAGTTTTCTTTATAGCTACATACATAGTATATAAAACAGAAAAAAAAACAATAAAAAAATCTTTTTTGCCTAATATTCTGCAAGAACAACTTTTAATGCATTTTTCCAAGGGAATGTCACCTATTACAATAACTTTGCATATTGACTGTTTGATTGATTGATCTACTTATAAGTTATGTTGCTTTGATACGATCGTTTGTAAAGATAAAATGTATAAGTAATACTATGGACTAAAAATACTCTGTGGTAATGGTAATGCTGTGTACCAATGGTAGTTAAATTAGTTTTATTTTGAGTATTCTCATACACATTTATTTACATAAGTGGTCTACATCTTAATTATGAGACTAGTTCTCGCTCCACAATGGCAGAAGATGGAATATCGAATGACCGGATACATGTTTCACGAGCTGACGTACTTTCAATAAATATTTTTTTTCGCCGTAATTTCGAGTAATCATGTGAAAATTGTGAAGCATAGGTACCGACACATGTTCAACATGACGTATAAATAAAAGAATAACTTAAAATAAATAATGTAACGATTACGAGAGTGATCACAAGCTGATTGTTTAGAAGGGATGAATTGTTAATAATTAAATAATCGAGATATGTGACATGATATTACGTACGAGGCGAGCCCCGCATTGCTCGCCTATTTCTTTGGATCTCCGAAGTGCACTGCGCGAATAGCATCAATTAGCCACTTTCACAAATTCCGAGTCATATCCTCTAGCACTAACAAAAGCAGTTGCTCCTTTACGGTCAATTGCCCGCACCCTTACGAATAAAAATGCGGCCACTAAACTCGCAACAATTAGCACAAGGAGTAACATCACTAATCCGGCTACAAAACTTGGAACTGACATACAAATCGTTTCAGGATCTGCAGAAGTTGCGGACTGTATGACCACGGTTTCGTTGCTAGACGCCGCATTTAAAGCGAAGTTGACGTCTCCCGGTGCAACCACTTGAATTGTTCTGCTTGTATTTACGTCAGTCATTTCTTGAGCCTCTCTTTTATAAATCCTCGTCGTTACAACGTGGATTACATCCGGGCTGCGACGTCTTCTCACTCCCTGAAGCTCCATGGGTAAATTTTCAACAGACCTAGGGCGTCCGCCTAGGGTTGCCAAATTACCCTCCAACTCGCCAACGATGCTGCTCTTCCTTTTAATAGTATTATACGCCCCATGGTGTACGGACAACGGCGGAGGAGGCAAGTGTATTTCATTGCTACCCTGGGAAGCAATTTGTGGATCTGACGAGGATGGATTGAGTGGAAGAGATGTAGAAGAAGAAACTGAAGATTGTGCCTGAGGAGGCGGAACTACTTCTGCGTTTTGTTCTGAATATGCACCTGTAGGTCCAGACGGATGGCGCGGATCTGGAAAGGCTGGCGGAACTCCGTACTCCTGTAATGTCGGTGCGCCGTATTCAGCAGCTAAACCACCACCGTGTACACCAAAGTCTCCAGCACCTAACAGGTTGTTTAACGCCGGTTGACCATAATCGCCCAGTAAAGCTAGTCCATGCCCTCCACACTTTGGCTCGGGACAATTGTAACGACAAACCTGAATGACACATTGGAAGTGCACGTTCATTGAATCTGGGAACTTAAATGCTTGAAAATACGCGAACGAAACCACCGAAGCGGAAGGTCCAAAGTTTTTGATTTTCTGAAACTTGCTCATAATCTTTGGTCTAACAACGCACCCATATTGGTCGACTAGCTGTATCGGGGCACGTTTGCCATCGTGAGCCACGCAATTTCTTACTAACATATCGAATTTGTTTTCATCGTCCTTAATAGCTAGCACCATGGTCATGGTCTGTCCAATTTTGACGATTCCTGAAACCTCCGAGGCCCACGGCCCTTTTCCTACTTGTATTTGCATCCAACATTGCAAGTTGTCTCCAAGAAAGTTTGCGGTGACTGCGTGTAACATGTCGACTTGGAAAGGTCGAAAGGTGACCGCTTTTTCGTAAAAGTCGTACCACGTACATCTGAGTTTGCGAGCTTGATCCCACACTTCTTGCACGTACGGGTCGTACTGGATTATTATTGTGTTTTCCACAAAGCTGCCGCTCGGAGTGGCCCCACCGTAACTGGCGGCGTTGTGGTTCGCAGAGGATGACATTCCGCAACTGTTGAGGAATATTTCGAACGTCGCACTAAGATGTCCGGTTCCCGATTTCAAATGCACGCAGTGTTGGTCACTGTAAAAGCCCTTTGAGAAGATCATTCCGTAGAAAGGGCGGTCGAATTCGATGTTGACGCGCATGTGAGTTTTTTCGCATTGCACTTGAAGATGTTTAATTTGTGGCATATCTGGAGTAGCCAAGGGCCACGGATCGTCCGCGTTAATTCCACCACCTTGTAATATCGCGGGTGGGGAATATCCGGGACCCGACAACGGGGGTCCGTACACCGCTCTGTGCTCGACAGGGAGGGATGCCGAATCGGATAGTGGAGCATCGCCGTTGATTACCTAGGAAGTAAAAATTTGAGCTCATTACGTTGCAAAATAATATTTGTTTCGTAATACATTGTTAGAAGCGGTGCAGGTACCATGAGAATCGTTTACCTACAAACTTCGCATGCGGGTTGAAGTGAAGAAATTTTTGATATCAAAAATTGTTAAATAACTTACCCTTATTATGAACACGGCCAGAAGAGCGCTTAAAGGTAAGCCCGCGGATTTGGTCATGGCGCTACCAGTGCTCGAGATCGTTTGTGTAGATTCTGAAATTACAATAATGACAGTTTGTATCTTAGACAGATGTGTTAAAGGTGCGACCAGAAACTTGGTCTCACCACGTCGCGCGTTTCTACACTTGATGTATTGTGACCCACTAACATACTCAGCGATGCGGTTCAGCGGCCTACCTTGCAAATGCTTCGTGCATTTTAATAGAACAGATACGAATAAACCGATCTATTATTTTTGGTGTAAAATTACAGGTTACAGTTTTCGGAAATTGTGCCCTCCTCCCAACGACACAAACGATTAGCGATGGCGCGGAACGCCGGCAACGAAGAAACGGAAGTACAATGCGTGTACAGTGATAGCGGAACGCTTTACATATTGCTACTACTGGCCTACTTCCGTTTAATTAGCAGATGCGCGACCTTGTCGTTCTTATCAGTGATTTGCAGTCGTTCCAATAGTAGGATAAACGCAGATACCGAAGCGGTACCACTCGATGGTACCTATCCGATATTTTATTTCTCATAGCCGACCGACATAAATAATCCGTATCTAGAAAGTAGCTCATGCTTTTACGATGATTATCACCTTAAGCGGTTGAATTTTAATTCGGTTTACAAAATATGAGTTTGTTTTTCGTGGACGAAAGTAATTCCTTGCCATAGTACCAAAAAGAGTTGGTTTTCTTTATTCGGTCATGGTGCTGACGTGCAATTCTGAATTAACAATGGGCGATATGGAGACGTACTTTCAATGGTGGCAGTGCATTATTGTTGCAATGTAATTAGCGTTTCTCTTTCTATTGTTTTCTGGAAGAGAGCTGAACCGTTCGTTATCCAGTTTTCTCTTTTTTAATGCGCGATGGTTCGCTCAAATTTCCGCTCAAGTTCCAGTTCTACAAACTTGGTTCAGTAGCGTATGTAAATTTCGGAGATGATTATGTTACAAACGGAGTCTGTCACGAGAAAGTATCCACGCTGCAACAGGTGCGCGTGTGCATAGAACCATTGACACACTGGCTTGCTTTCCTTTTAACAAACGTTCCCAATCACAGGCAATAGAATTTACCTTTAACGCGGCAATGTTTAAAATCAAATTTGAAAAAAATAGCCGGTTAGTTTTAGCGCGTGTTCTTAACGGAAGTAAAGACCGTTGAGGGCATATGTCAAGTGCAACCGGAAGAACCGCAAAAAAGAAACTGTAACTTTCCGAATTTGTTTGTTTACAAAATTAATTATTTTTGTATAGGTAATCCTTACACGTACTTGTTTAAGAATCCTCTTGCTGTTAAAAAAAAAAAACTTCAAACACTGCACCACTATAATATCCTTATTTGCTCTTTCGCACTCACTAGCACATGGTAAACTAATCTACAATGAAGCAGTAAATAAAAAATGTAGCTCCTACTTCCACAACCGAGTAAATGTTTTACAAGTAAGTAATAACCTGTATTAAAAACATTTGTAGGTTTTATATAGATGTGAAAGTTAGCCCCCCTACATAAGGACGGAATCGCAGGTGGGACATGAAGTGTGAAGTTTCCTAAAGATTTGTCAGCCCGGATACGACAACAAAACTTGGGGTGTATGTTTTTTCCAATTTTGAATTTCGTACGTAGTCACTTTCAGTACCGGTTCCTATTGTTTCCTGTTCATTTCGCAACTTGTCGCCATTTCGCCGATGTTGACATTTGCGTCTACAAGGGAAAGCGTTTTACCAAATCTATGATGGGATGTCGCCCAAATTGAAAACTTTTACTTTAATTAAATTAGAACGGATAACTTTATTTGCTTTTTAATGTTTATCATAAAAAACCGCAAAAGAAAGAAAGGTTGCATTCTATCACGACTTCTTCGCGAAGAATAACTTCAGTAGAACCGGAACTTGTAAGAGCTCGGGGCCCTATTAGATTTTATTTTACTGACAATGCATGTTTTCATTTACCTATCTGTCTACTGAATTGTAAAGGCGCTTTTTCGTGTTTTCCATCACCTCCAATCCCAAGAACCCTTAACAGATCCATTTTTGCTCGTTTTCTACGCAAGCTTTGGACGAGGTTGTAAGATCAGTAAACAAAAATACGTTTAGATAACGATTTGTCTATTGTGAGCGTTTTTTCCTTGTTTGCTTTTTTTACAAGATCCAGAAGCCACCTTTTAAGTGAACCCCTCCCCGTTTCCAAAATTCCAAGTTTTTTAAAAAAATAAAAGCTCACTATTATCTTAGTGTAACTTACACTATGCTATTATATAGCGATTTGTCTATATTTTATGGTACTTCATATTCTTGTTTCCTTGTTTGGTTGTATTTAAAAATTACAGGGACCACGAGCCACCCTTTAATGGCGCCCGTTCGCGTCACAGAAAATACAAAACTTTAAGGAAACTGACTTTCATAACAATCTGTCTATTACGAGGGCTGTAATTTTTGTGGTACTTTAAACAGTTTTATGTTTTTGTTGATATCGTTTCGCGGGTCCACAGGCCACACTTGAAGTGCACGTAAAAGTACAGTGTGATTCAAAATATCTGCAGATAGTTTGAATTTGGCGCTTAAAATTTTAGGCGTTGGCGGTCATGGTTTTCCCCTAATACACAAATCACGGTACTACAATCCATTTTCGTCGGTTTTTTTACGTGTGTTTCTATTTCCTTGTGTCTATACCATGAACCTTGCACAAATAGTTCTCTTCAAAGCTCCTGTAACATTTTACAGAGGTACGTAGTGAAAGAAAACCCTTTATAGAGATTACATAAGCCCGTTTTTAGTTAGAATCGAGAATTGCCTGATCATGACGCGTTCATATTAATGGCGTAGCGCAACACGTTTAGAAGATGGTACATGGTCATAGTCCACTAGGTCCTGTTTTCAGCAATTGAACGAAGAATATCCTGACCACCACTTCAATTATAAAACCTTCGTTAGTCGTCTAGGGCTAGGATTTTAATGACGTTAAAAATCAGCGTAAATGCAAAATAAAAAATGCAATTATGACTTAAAATCTCGCAGAAATGGCAAAAACTTAATAAAATGACATTTTAAATAACAAATACATTTATTGATGAAACTGAATAAGACCGCAAAATTATGTTAAGAAGTAATTAGGTAAGATAAGACAGGAATTTCATTGGTGGTCCATTTCCACCCTCTGCAGGCCAGTCATAGAAACTAGGTATGTAAGTCGTAACGTAAGGTACTCACTTACCGCACCCCAAAGAAATGTAATCCCTTAGAGTGGGCATACGTTTGTGGATGACTCAAGCACGTTCCAAGAAAACGTTAACTAAATATGCATTTAACTTATAATGGAGGTTTTAGGCAGGGGCGGATCGAGGCCTCAGGGGGCTCTGGGCTAATATTTGTAGGGGGCCCTCTACTTAATGAATTTCGGGTTATCGAAAAACATCTTCATTTCTATTTCTATTATTTCTTCAGAAAATTATTATTAAAATTACAGGTCTAAGGCAAAAGCACTAAGTATAAATACAATGAAAAATATTCTAATACATCAGTAGAGTTCAAATTTCAAAAAGCACAGATTACACAGAAACGGTGAAGCTCGATCTGTACACAGCGGCAGGCGAAACCACTGATCTATTTTTAGAACTAGACCTTTGAGAATCAGAGTGCCTTTCAACACGTTACCTACATGAAAATAGAATATTAGAGTTTTCAAGTGTTTTAGAGGAATTTTTTGAAAGAAATTTCCCTTATGTGATGGTTTTGTCCGTCCGTCTGTACCTCGTCTAACTCGAAAAGAAACGGCGCAAATCTTCTTCAATCAAATCCTACGAGTTCAACGATCAGTGCTTTTGATTATGAGCCGCATTCAAAGTTGCGTTTCCGAATGCGAGCTAAGTATCAAAAAATTCCCCTACTGAAAACGTATACGATGCTTCGTATCTTGTTTTTCTTTTGGACCTAGGATTGCACACAACGTCGGAGCAGCCCTTAAAGCCCCTGCAGATACCCGGAACTACGCCATTCAAAGTAAAACACACTAAAACTCCAAAAAATGCAAAAAGTAACGTAAAAATTAGATAAAATTACCCATTCCTCAAAAATGGCAAACAATGCAAAAAATGCACCAACAAGTTGCTGCCATTTGATTCAATTTATCCTGAAACAGGTTTATATACCGGGTGGTGCACGGTAAGTAGGAACATAGGGATTTAACATGGGAAATTAGTTTTATGCAATATCCTGTCCTCCTGTACATTTTACAGAAAAAACTGTACCTAGAGTTTAAAGTTTACCACAATTAAAAGATGC